TAAATCCAACGTAGTATCGATTCCTGCTCAACGTATATCCCGTAAAGAAGCGAATAAAACTAGTCACCGACCACCCTTTTATCCCTCTTTTCAACTAATTTCATTTGAAAGTTTAGTTCTAATGCATCGATCTTCTTTACTCTTTCGCAACTTGAAGCTCTGGTTCAATTTTGTTGAAATAAATGTAGCAGAGATGTTACGTGTTTGAGGATTGAACTGCGGATGGTTTCAATTCTTTTTTTCTGCAATTATAAATTCATAGATTATTTAATTTCTAAATTGTGAGATTTCTGTTTCCTAATTTCTCCATTTTCCAGCTAACCGATTTCTTAATTTTTCAATTTTTCTATTTCTCAATTCTTCATTTTATTTTTCTAATCTTCAATTTTTCAATTTTTCAATTTTTCAATTTTTCAATTTTCCAATTTTTCAATTTTCCAATTTTCCAATTTTTCAATTCCACAATTCTCCCATTTTTCAATTTTTCAATTCTCCAATTCTCTAATTCTCAAATTCTCCAATTCTCCAATTCCTCAATTCTCCAATTTCTCAATTCTCCAATTCCTCAATTTTGCAAATTCTCAATTCTCCAATTCCTCAATTCTCCAATTCCTCAATTCTCCAATTCCTCAATTCTCCAATTCCTCAATTCTCCAATTCCTCAATTCTCCAATTCCTCAATTCTCCAATTCCTCAATTCTCCAATTCCTCAATTCTCCAATTCCTCAATTCTCCAATTCCTCAATTCTCCAATTTCTCAATTCTCCAATTCCTCAATTCTGCAAATTCTCCAAATTCTCCAAATTCTCAATTCTCCAATTCCTCAATTCTCCAATTCCTCAATTCTCCAATTCCTCAATTCTCCAATTCTCCAATTCCTCAATTCTCCAATTCCCCAAATCCTCAATTCCTCAATTCCTCAATTCCTCAATTTTTCAATTCTTCAATTCCTCAATTCCTCAAGTCTTCAGTTCTTCCATTGTTCAATCCTCCAATCCCTCGTGTGAATCCTCCAATCCCCTGTATACTGAATCAAGTATATTTAAATATAAAAAATAATACTAAAATAATAGAATTAATAATATCAATATTAATAATCAAACATATTCGAACCATCTATAAACCAAGAATTAAAAAGCCATAAAAATCTTGAAGTAACACACACATCTAAGTATTCCTCCTTCTCAACACATACTCTATCAACTCTATGAAAATATACCGTCGATGAACAGTTCAGCAAATCGCGGAAATAAAAGCTTTTCAAACATGCACTTATTTAAGTGGAAATCTTCAAGATAATAACGTAGCGGGTATAAGGTATCCTCCTCCTTTGGCATCGCGAGGATTAATATCCTTGAGGCTAATATTTGAAGGGAAGACGATTTATATGTTGAACATCTCCCGTTCAAGGTTCTTGGCTTCTATGGCAACAACAAAAGACCTAGTATTACGTCAAAGGCATGTATCTATAGCTCGCTATAAAGACGTAGTACATGGTTAAAGATCCTTCTTCGCTTTTAAGGGAAAGACTTAACGAAGTCTTATTGTACACGAAAGTCGTTAACAGCTTCGTCTTGTAATTGAGTGTCTCAAAGTGTGGGGTCATTCACAAATATTCTATTTTATGGGGATTTTGCTCTCCTTTTCAATGATGGAGTGTATTGTTCTTATGAAATATATTTATTTTAAATTTTCAGGTGAGAAATTTACAAAATTTTCAAATTTATTAGGCAGTGATCTTCAAACTGAGTAATCAAAAAATTGTCAAATTTGTCACTCAGTAATCTTCAAACTAAAAAAGCTATAAATTGTCAAATTTGTTATTCAGTAATCTTCAAACTGAAAAATTAAAAAATTGTCAAATTTGTCACTCAATAATCTTCAAATTAAAAAAGTTTCAAATTGTCAAATTTGTTATTCAGTGATCTTCAAACAGAGAAATAAAAAAATTATTAAATTTGTTACTCAGTAATTTTTAAATTAAAAAAATAAAAAATTGTCAAATTTGTTATTCAGTAATCTTCAAACTGACAAAATCAAAAAATTCTTAAATTTGTCACTCAGTAATCTTCAAACTAAAAATGTTACAAATAGTCAAATTTGTTATTCAGTAATATTCAAACTGACAAAATCAAAAAATTCTTAAATTTGTCACTCATTAATCTTCAAAACTAAGAAATTAAAAAATTGCCAAATTCTCAAACAATCAAGCAGTCCTCAAATTTCTAAATAACAGGTACGATGAAATCATAAAGGCGACTAATTTATCTATTAAAAGTAGAAGAAAATAAAAGAAGATGGTCCGAATTCCAATAGGTTTTCGCAACGTCCATAAGGTACGAGGACATAAACCGATATCATTTTTTGAGTACACGAATGTAGGACCCGAGAATGAATTTTCCCAGGGGATCGGGTGTAGGGGCGATCTTTCAAGAAACGTGGCGTCGATGGAGGCAATAAAAGATTCATTGGTCGTTCGGTCGACGCCATCGGGTTGGAGCTTTTTGCCGGGAAGCTCGCGGTAACATACTGTAAATGCACCTTATGGATAATTCCGCATTCTTGGCCGTGAGCCAATCGAGTTTCAGGATTACCGAGCGAGGACGCATCTATATTCATCCGATTAAAGGCTACGGCTAGCTTTAGCGTCCGATATGTCGGCTCGCAGTTTCCGGTAATTAGTCGGGCGTAATTAGCAACGGGCCAAGCACCGGGACGCGGAAAGCTTAAACGAAGAATCGGAGCTAAAATAATTGGCGTATTGCGTTGACCACACTCGATCTGTTTCGTCCACGGTTATCGATCGTTCCTCGTTTTCCGGTTAATCCTCGAAATAAAGCGCGACAGCCACGACGTACGATGGCCGTTTACGAATCCGTTCGTTTAATTAAATTTTTCATCGATTTTTTTTTAATTAACCCGCGTTCCCGCATTGTACGAGTTAACGAACCCATCGAAATTTCGATACGATCGACGCCATTGTTTCGTCATAATCGCGTTTCACCTCCCCCTCAAAATATAGAGAAGAAGTTAAAGCCCAGCGGGTCCAATCGAATAATTCGCATCGCTTCATGTAAATACCCTTTCGGTAGTTTACGTATTTGCTGGCCGAATTGTATGGCAATCAGTTGCATTATGCGGTCATTAGTCGCATAATCCGGCAATTATGCTGATTATGCGTATCCCTCTATTTTAACGAACGTTCAAACTTCAATTATTCCCGCCATTTTTTTGTTTCGAAAGCATTTCTGAAGATGACGTTTTTAATGTATAAAAAAA